ATTCCTTTTCTGTAGGTGTACATATTTATATACTGTATATCCATAACACGTATAAACATATATTAAAAATGTGCATAGGCAGAATAGCTTGCACACCCAGATTGCAACAGTTTTCTATTTTCAGATTAGTTTTATTTTGATATACGATATTTTTGGATTCGATCTGAATTTCTGTTTAGTTCTACAGTAGTTAGTTCCAGTCATCTCTCTCACCATTTGTTTGACTCTCTGAGTTGCACTTTGCATTTTTCAAAGTATAGACATGCACAGCCCCTGGAGTTTTGAAATTGGGATCAAGTGGCCCCTACAGCATCAAAGTCTTTGAAAGATTGCCGGTCACATAGTCCGGTTGACATGCCAGTTTCAGTGAACAGAGCGAGTGTATTTTCCTGTTTTTTGTAGCCTGTTCACTGGAGCAGGTCATCCACTCAGATCTTTCTATGTTAGGCTCTGCTGCTTGCTGGATGTATCACTAATGTTACCCTCCTTGCTAATGTTCTTTATGACTGCATCTTTTTCTTTTAATGCTGTGTTCCTTTAACTTTAAGATTTGTTGGGTTTTTCCTTTTGATTTCTATTCCATTACCTGAAACAAATATGTGTTTGCTTGTACTGCTCTTGCTGTTAAATTTGAAATCGTCCCGTCACAGGGCTCCTGCTTTTTCTTCCTGACATCTTGATCTTCATAAGGCCTAACTGTGGGTCCTGGTGCAACGCTGTCATCTAAAGCTTGTAGGCTAAAGCTACTGTAAACAGACTGTAGGTCACCCATTGTCTTGAATGAAACCCTGTATACACGACCTTATTGATATTTATATTTTATTTTTTATTTTCTGCGATGGATTGGCGACCTGTCCAGGGTGTACCCCGCCTTCACCCGATTGCCGGCCGAGATTGGCTCCGCCCCCCGCGACCCCGTTCAGGGATTAAGCGGTAGAAAATGAATGAATTATATTTTATTTTTTGTTAGTTTTTTAGTGATCATTAGTTTCATTTAGTTTATTTTTCAGGAATATTATTTTGTTTATGAAAATGTTTTAAAACCATGAGTTTTTGTTTTAGTATATAATAATAGCCCTGATACACACCCCAATTCAATTCTCCAAACTGTTTTTTTTTTTTTTTTTACCTCCCCTCTGGCAGTTTTAGTCCCACTCTGGCCATGTAGAACTGTCTGAATACAAAACCTTCTGTGCCCAGAGCCATCAGTAGAGCGGTGGCCTCACATAGCCCTTCCTCACCCCAGAGACAGCAGCTTGCTTTGGGTCGCCTTGCTGGGAGCTCCAGTGGGTGCACAGAGCTCTGTGGGAGAACACACTGACACAGCTGGAGGATTCTCAAAGAGGAAAGCGATGAAAGGAACAGGCAAAGAGGGAAACATTGTTTCTCCCCCTTGTTCATTTCTGTTTCTCCCTTGTTTCTGTCTGTTTTGTCATATTGCAGTAGCGACTTTCTATTTTCATTGTTTGTTTGTAAAAAGATGCCATTTTAATCCGGCTCAGAAAAGGATGGCACAGCTTTCCTGAAATAGTTATTGTTTTTACTGCTTTGCCTTAAACTCAATCTTCTCCTGTTCATACTCCTGGGCCTCCCTCTTCTATCTTGCTCTCTTTCTGCATCCTACATCTCCATCCTCTTCTGCAGCCTATTTCTTCTACTTCCTCTTTATCCTTGTTTTTCTGTTCTTTCTTTGTCTTCGCTTCCTCTTATATCTTCATTCTCTTTTATATCATCTTCATATATCTTCATCTTCCTCTCAGCCCTCCAGTCCCCCCCACCCCCCCAGGCATATAATTTATGAAGTGTTGAAAATGTTCCTCTCCTTTGTGTAGTCTGGAGTCTTGTGTTTAACATTTTTTAATTAGAAGTGATTTTTGTTTCTAAATGACTGATACTGTTGTTGACCCTCCTCAGGCTCTCATAACAGGCCCACACACACACACGGCCATACCGCATGAGTCATGCACAGTGAATTGTATTACTGTATTGTTTTGGATTGCATGCGGGCTAAAATAAGCTGGCATGCTCATTTTCTTCTATTTATCATTCAGCAGATAAATAGAAAAGTGAGAGTAGAGGCAATCACCTCTTGCGCCTGGTTGCCAGTTCTGTCTTGTCCATCAGCTTCATCCAGCCATGTGAGTATGTGTTTGGTAAGTGTGTGTCCTTGTGTATTGACTGTTAAAGAGGCAGTCGGGACCCAGTCCTGTCATATCCCTTATAGACCCCATTAGGATGCCACGCAGGTGCTCGTATGAGCTTTCACATTGTCTACTCAGCTTATATATGTTACCAGACAAAGTGCCAGCCATATAAATGTTTACAACCACAGCATTACAACCAAAATGTAGCTTCTATTACAGTTCATCGTTCCGAGATTCTGGAGCTGGTTGGGATTCAGTGTCCTTTGCTGACATGAATATCATTTGGCTTAATAAGACAGGGCAACTCTGCTGCCTGAAACTGATCAAAAGACCACTGACATTGTGAAGAGATTTGTGAAAACTCCAATGTCATATTAACATTGGGATATGAGGAGTTTGATTTGCTGATAATGTCAGAGCATTCATACAAGTTATTACAAATCATCCTGTGGGGGGCATGAATGTGTCTACCAAATTTCATGGCAGTCCATCCAATATTTGTAGAGACCAAAGTCATGGTGGCGTTAGACGAAAGGTCAGAGGATCACCAATGTCATTATTTTCTGGGAACCATGAATGTCCTAAGTTTGATTTACCGTTGTTTCCATTGTACCTCATTTTCTTTGCTGCTTTGGGCCAGTGTGTCTGCCAAATGAATAAATGGAACTATAAATGAAATCAATCCAATACTGTTAAGATGTCTGCGTCTGGACCAAAGCGGGGGACGTGTTGACTGACAAAACAACAGGCTGACATTTGCATCCATAGAACAACGCCACTCGCACAGCTACTTAAAACACCGCAAAGGCAGTATCAGTGCAGTCTTGTCAATCAACCAACCTACATTATATTATCTATCAGCTATTTAAAGCATAATTTACAATTATGTTCCCTCATCAGATGTTCTCTTGCTTCATACAATGGACATTGGATGGTTTACTATTGATAGAAGAGAGACAATCAGTTTTTTTAACCTCATTATCAGCCTTTCTCCGTCAGCGAGATCTGTCATGGCAGTCAGCTACAGGTGAGCAGTAATGCATGAAATGCATCTCAGGAGGTCTGGGCAGTAGCCATGAGTGAAAGTTTTCCCCAGAGAGCTGAGATCACTCACTCTGATAAATTGGGGCCTTAGCTGGAGTTGGCCAGCGCTAACAAACATCATTCATCAACCACTCATTAAAGCTCACTTTAGGAAGTGTTATGGCCAGTTGGTGTTGAATTGCCAGTGTTTTATTCCATTTTATGAATAATAAATGCATAATTATGTTTCTTATTATTAATGAATCTTGTATTTGTAGTTTTACTTGTACTTTACCTGGAACCTGGCCTTAAATGTGACTTTTTCCTCTCATGTGTTTGGAGCAGTGCTGCAGTGGGTACTCTGTTCACATAGTACACAGTTAATTAGTCCAAACAAATTCTGTTGACAAAAGCTGCAATAGAGTCACACACTCAGTTTTCTCTCTCTTTGATTCCTCCTCCTGTGTGCACATGTGGGTGTTTTTATGTCATGTGTGCACGTATGATTCTCATTTTTCCTTCTTTCACAATGTGTAAACCACCCATGTGATTAATATCACAGTACTGCACGTGATCGCTGGCTGCAACAGATGCTATGAAAAAGAAGTCAGTCCTTCTCAGTGATTTGGTTCTGAAACTGGAGTATGCTGCTGCTACAGTATGTAATGTGTTGTATACTGAGATTGGGTGTGTGCACGGGGAAGGCAGAATCACAAACAATGGTAGAGTGACAGGGGACATCATTGTAACTCAGAAACACTATGTCACTTAAAAACTATAGAGTGCAACAGTGTGTTCTGCTTCAGGCGGTGTCACTCTGTAAACGCGTGTGTGTATGAGAGAGAGAGACGACCCCTAGTGGCCACCAGCACACATGTCAGAGCACTCCTCCAGGGCTCCAGTCTGGTAATATGAAGGAAACGAAATCTCATTATTATTTCTATTTAATTTCGACTTTTCTGCATAAGAAAGTCAGATTTCATTGTTTTTCTTGTACTTTGGGTGAATTTCTATAACTGCTAGAAGCAGACAGCAGCCTAATTTTTTGCAAATTGGATAGGCTACGAATGGTGCTCCCAGACTGGGCTTGAGGGCCCTCTAAGGGTCCCTGGGGCAATTCTGGGGGGCCCAACTGTACACTGTCAACCCTAGCATAATGTTCTTTACCAAACCTTTTTCACAATGGCATGTATATAATATAAATATGTTTTGCTGTAGGTGATCTCATAGACAGTTATATAATTTTTAGTTCCATATAAATTCATTTCTTTTTTTGGAGTTTACATGTTCTCCCTGTGCTTGCCTCCTTCGGCCGATTGCCGGCCGGGATTGGCTCCGGCCCCCCCTGTGACCTGCATGCAGTGACTAAGCGGTAGAAAATGAATGAATGAATGAATAAATTCATTTTGAAGGGGGCTTTAGGTACAAATTGATCAGCTGTAGGATCTAAAGGTTTATCTGGTTCTTCCTCTGGCACTGAAGCCACATGCCTGGTATAAACATTGTTTTTATATTCATTATTAGACAGTCACTCCATGTGCCGTCTTTTTACCCCCAGCATCCGCCGTACCAAAACTCTGCACCAATCACACAGCGGTGCTGCTAGAAGCCAAACTTCCTTGCTTCTTATTGGCTGATAGTTGACAATAAGATTCCAGCTGTTCACCCCCTCCCCTCCACTCTAACAACTTAGGCTGACAGCTAGCTCAGCCAGTGAGGAGGAAGCTCCAAGTCAGGTCGCGCTGTCATTGGCGCGGTGTGTGCGCTCGTTGGGCGGGGAGTGAGAAGTTAGGATCCCCCATCCAGCTGTGCGAGCTTTGCTGATGGACGGAACCGACCGAACACAGTCTGGGGGAGTCAAGAGTGAGAACAGGAGCCCCGGGTCGTCAATATATGCACAATGGAGAGTCGAAGTGTTTGTGATATTTAGAAAATATCCCAGGTTGTGTCTCTGATGCCTGTTTGTGTTCAGTGACAGGATGTGCAGCAGCATCTCCGTGGATTTTTAATACACTGATGAAGGATATGCGCAGAAACCGCCTGTGGATGCAGCGAAAAGTAGGGATTCTTCATTTGAAGAAAGAAAACTAGCGGAGGAAAACGTGGGGGAACGAATAGATTATTAATTTTCGTTATTTCTCCTTTTGGGGGTTTGTCCATCAGCTCTGTGCAGGAGGGGAGAATCGTAAAGAAGTTTGTGTGCAATATTAATATTTTGAAAAAGGCTGAGCGCGGCATAAGTAGACACAAACTGCTTTTATTTCTGAGAGAGGATGGTTATGAAGTGTCGTTGAAGCCCCTGGAGAGGCTCTTTGGACGTCGGAGACCGGGGCTCGGGCGCACCGTGAGACGGACCGAGCTGCAGCGCAGCACCTGGGACGCACCAAACCCATAAGACCCCGTTGTCTTCTTTATCCATTCCCTCCTCGTCTGTCCATCTTACCAACCAGATTCTTTCTTCAGGGTGGTGCGGACTTCATTGCCGACAAAAAAACTGATCATGCGATGACTGAGCGCGCTTTGGGCACATCTACTGAGTCCATTATAGGTAATAAATCGAATGAAAAGATACTCCTGCACTGTTTTAGAGGAATAACTGCCACAAGCCCTTTCACCACGAATATGTTGTTGGCAAATGATTATTGCTACTGAAGTTTGGAAACTAATTAAACCAGTCGCAGTCTATTGTTGTTGGTGTGAGAGATTTTGGCTTCGTCTTTGATGAAAATGAATTCCAGCCCTTCTTGAATTTTTGGAGGCTCATTAGGAGCTCGTTTTTATTTACCAGCTTAGAGCAGCAAATGTACACTTGGTCGATTTGTTAAATCAAAAATCTGTTTTGTGTCATTTTCATTCAGTAATTCTTTGATGAGGTGTGCACACATTTTCCTAAAATAACCCCGCCAGCACCACTGCTGTGTGCGCCGTCCGATATTTAGGCTTTATTGTCAGCATATGTTTTGAAGCTGGATGAGTTTCACTTTATGTAAGATTGATAGATTTCTTTAAATGTTCATATATCCTAAGTCTTAATGCTAATATGCTTCTTTTCTGCCTGCTGATGGTTGTCAGCTATATTGTATTTAATCATAAATTTATGATCGCATATTCCTGCAGGAGGCGAATGATGGCCGAGGATGGGGGAAATCTCTCCGGGGTCCCCGACCCCAGGGGCTCTGAGGGTCGCTCCTCTGTACCGCGGACTTTCATTCGGCTCAATGACCTGTCCGCGATCGGGACAGGAGGCGCAGAGCGCAGCGAGGTGGTCGTGGAGCCAGCGTCCCCAGCGCCTGACGGGATCTCTACAGGCGGAGAGGAAGCGTCTGCGAGCGGTGGGGAGAGCCTGCCCTACCCCACCCTGGCCCCTGTAGTCTTCTTCTACCTGAAACAAACCACCCGGCCTCGGAGCTGGTGTCTCAAGATGGTCTGCAACCCATATCCTTTTACAGTACTTATGAAATAGGAATCTGCTCATGTGCACATGCGCGCCGCGCCCACCTGTGGCAGGTAAGAAACACCTGCTTGGCTGTGCAGCTTATCCAGTTGAGCTCGATGGTTATTAGATGTCCATAAGACTTGGAATCATACTGTATGACTTGCTTGTCTGTGTGTGTTCATACATCTAGCTCTTTACTGTTGTGTGTGCCCAGTGAACATGCTTCATGATCCAATATGAACAAAAAGACCTGGTCTGAGGTGTGTTTGTGTGACTGAAATGTGTATTGGTCCCTTGGAGATGTTCCCACAGTCCCCTGGATGTGTTTTTGCCCTCACTCAAACTATCCATGTTCTGTCGGTGTCTGATTATTTATAACTGCAGGTGACGAAAATCTGTCAGCCTCATATTAACTTAGTCTGCAGTGTGGGCTGTAATAGAGGTTATTGTTACTTCATTGATACACACCTAGAGGGCTGGTTGTGGAGCATTAGCCTTTTCTCGAGGTGAATAGCAAAGGAGAGTTGGAGTCTGTTTAAGTCACAGAAACTTGTTGAATCATTCCTGCCACTGAAGTGTATTATTGATTCATAACTATACAGGCCTGCACTGACTCAGTTCTCTTGAGAGAAAGGAAACAGGATAGGGAGAGAAAGGAGGCACTGGAGACTCTTTTCTGTTGGTGTAGAGAACATACTTGTGTGTATGTGTGTGTGAGGTCTTGGTAGCTGGATGGGAGCAAGCCTATTAGATGGAATGCTTCCTTGGCTGGCACCACTCTGCTCTGGAGGTTTAAGACCGCTGTCGTTTTTTCCTTTTTCTTTTAAGTGCTGTATGAATGTCATTTGGATTATGGTGTTCCCTTCCTCCCCTGTCTGCCTCCCATGCCTCCTCCTCCCTCTGTACATCCACCTCTTCTGCTTTGTCTGCTGCTTCACATCATACATCATTTATCTCAGTTTTAATTGAGATGTTAAGTCACCCGGGGTATCTCTGCCTCGCTCCTTCCTCTTCTTCTCCCAGGAACAATGCTGCTCATTCTTGCTGTTCTTTTAGATCCTCTTGTCTTTGTTCAGTTTCAGTCTCCCAGGAATCACAGCTGATCTCCATGTCTGTAAATGTCAGAGCTTTAAAGGTCTTACAAATAGACCTTTTAAGTAGCAGGGGCACATGAGTTTCCCATGGCTCATTGGGGAGCAAAGGCAATCATGATACTATTATCCAAGTCAGGGGGTTCTCAAACATTTTTGTTTTACAGACCCTCCACTCATGTTCTTTCTTTTGTTTAACTTCCTGTCACTTCTCAGGCTTATGGTTACAAGGCGTCTAGTGGGGAAGGCGCGATGGAACTGGGTGTCATAAAGTAACAGTAATGTAGCTCCTAGTTTAGGCTAGTAGTATTACCACGCACACAGTGAGACTGGGGATTGATGTAGTCCAGTTGTTTGCCTCCATTAGCATAATTCAGAAGTTTCTGAGGTTGAGTAAAAAGAACAGAGGTGGAGGATGGGAAATAACATTTTGCCATTGTTCAACTATCTGAAAATGTTCAGAGTAGTGTGATGTTATGCTTATACAAATAGATAATTATGAGGTTGCACAGTGTTTGGCAGGTGTATGACAGTTATTGTAATTTGTATTTAACCTGAAGATTGATGGAATAAATCTGACGTGCCACAGTTTCAGCAGCTACAGCTGTCAGTTATTTTCCAGATTCATAAATTATAAGTTTGGTTTATAAAATGTCATGAAAGAGTCAAGAAAGCCCATCACAGTTTTCTAAAGACCAAAGTGAGTTCTTTGAATTCTTTGTTTTCTCTCAGCTGTAGTCCAAACTCCAAAAACATTCAATTTACTATCACACAGGACAAAGAAAACCAACAAAATCTCTCAACTGAGAAACCAGAAACAAGTTATGTTTGGCTTTCTTGGTTAAAAATGAGTAACGACTGGTTATTTTAAAAGTTGGCCATGATTTGATTCAGCTCTCGAAGAACCACCCAAATCAGCTTCATAATGTGGAAAATGAACATTGGCTCTGCCATAAATGACTCAGTCAGTCTCTGCTAAGTTCTTGTGAGGCAACCACCATCACCAGTCACAACCTCTTTCATGTATTTCCAATTTTTACTTGCTATCAATGGTTATCCTCAAGTTTGGTTTGGTTATCTGCAACCTGTGTGTCCACACACTGGAAGGCATAGCATGTCCCAGGTTGCATAATAAACACTGACCTGAAGTTGTAGCCTACTGTGCCACCCATGGATGTACTGTGAACTGCATCACAGACATTTGGTATACATTTATATACAGTTTTATATAAAGTTTGACCTCAGTCTGGATTTAAATGTATAAAAGTGTGTCAGGTCACCAAATGCTTAATTGGATTTTGACACCTGGAAACTCTATAAAGTTTTATCTGACATCACTGATTTTTTTTTCAGGTAGGGGCAAATCAGGTCTGTGCTCGGACATAGATCTGGGCACAGTCTTACAGTACAGCTTGCGTTTTGAGAAGTGATATGAATTTGAAAGTGCTGAAATGACTGCTGGGTAATTTATGATGGTGTTTGAACGTTCTGTCTACTTGTTTGCCCTTTAATGTGCATGTGTACCTATTTAGGAAAAGGTCAGTGCTTCTGTAATGCATTGTAATGTTACTGTGATCTATCTTTCTTTGTGCCCCCTGTGTGTGGGCGTGTCCTCCTTTGCACAGATGCTTTGTGCCCAAGAGGTTATACCTACAGTATCTTTAGCCATATTTTTCACTTTTCCTCTCTTGATCCTTGACTCCTCTTCTGCTGCATCTCCACAACGTGTCTCTCTTTCTGCTCTCTGGTTCAAGGATTAATCCCGCAGTAGTCTCTTTTTCTCCTGCTATAAATATATCCACAGCGCACCAGCAGTAGCCAGCTCTGCCTCTGCTCTGATGCACAGACACTGCTTCCTCTGATGCTGTAGACCAGCAACAGAGGAAAACCCAACTGATCTCGGGGCCAGGATCTATTCTAAACAGGCATATCCTTGGTAAGCCCTCGGCCTCAAGCGGCTCTATTTTCAACAGTCTGAAGTAATTAGGACCCCTGGATACATGCTGAGGTATTTAAGGTCTAATTGAAGACCCCTGGGGTGTACGCTGTGAGTGAAGTTTTGCCCGGCACATTGCTTGTATGAAATTCCCTCTGCTGGTTTTGCTAATGATTCCTGCCCAATCTGTGTATGCCAGAGAGTGAGAGCTTTAGTGTGTGAGAGTGAGCAATGTTGTGTAAGCTGCACACACACATGGACACACACTTCCCCAGGCCTCCCGTAGGTGTCTCCTCTCCGGTGGGGAGCTGGACGTTGTGCCAAGACAGAGGAGGAAGGGAGATTGGGAACTGTTCCAATGCTCTCTGTCCTGTGCTCACATTGATTTAAGCAGAGGATTACATGGCCCAGAAGAGTGAACAAGGACACCTGGCCAGGCTAGGTGTTTGTCTTTGCATTGAAATAGCCTCATTGGAGGGGCGACAAACCACTTGCGCTCAAGGGAGTGTAGGGATTTTGGCGAAATATGCTACTGATTTGTTTTTTCCTCCTGTTTCGCTCTCTTCCTCTGTATTTCAGCAGAGCAGGCTTTCTAATTTGTAGGTCTGTCAAATAATGGAAGCTGGAGCAGAGTTACTTAATCAGCAGAAAATGTCTCCTGCGCTCCTCGTTGCCTATTCTCCCCTCACCCCTCCTCCTCCTCTGTTTCTCCTTTCTCCACAACCCCTTCGTTGTTTTTTCCTCTTCTGGTGTTAAAAGCCTCACTTTGGCTGGAGACTGAGGAAAAACAGTAGAAGAAGAAGAAGGAAAAAGAAAGTGAATGGGTGTGGCGAAATTAAAATAAAAAGGGATTTCAGAACACATTTTAAGAGGTGAAAAAGTAGGCCTGTACCCGCCAACAACTTGTACTTTCATATTTTCTCCCTCTACCCGCCTTCCCCACACACCCGCCCTTCTCCCTGTACATTTGAGAATTTCAGACATTTTCTTCTTACACTTCTTACAGTTTGATCTTCACTATTAATTCTGTCAGAACTATCTTTTATACTGTAGGTGTTTGAGGATGCATTGTAAATGTGTGTGAATATTCTGTATATGAGCTGAATTTATACAGTGGGGCAAATACATATTTGATACACTGCCGATTGTTCAAGTTTTCCCACTTACAGAGAATGGACAGTTCTGTAATTTTCATCGTAGGTACACCTCAACTATACGAGACAGAATCTACAAAAAAACAATTCCAGAAAATCACATTGTTAAATTTTTAAATAATTTATTTCCATTTTATTGCATGAAATAAGTATTTGATCACCTACCAACCAGCAAGAATTCTGGCTCTCACAGACCTGTTAGTTTATCTTTAAGAAGCCCTCCTATCCTCCACTCATTGCCTGTATTAATTGCACCTGTTTGAACTCGTTA